TATAATTACTATTTTGGGGGTTCCTTGCTACAATTATAGTATCATGGGCCCCAAAACCCTATTCTAATCATTAAGGCCCCTAAACCCTGAACCCCTATAGCAGCCCCTATAGAGCCCTTTAAGGAACCCTTTAAAGGAACCCCCCAAAGACCCCTATTCTAACCATTAAGGCCCCTAGACTCGAGGTGTGGAGTCTTGGGGTTTAGGGTTTAGGGTTTAGCGTTTAGGGTTTGGGTTCTACACAGTATGAGTTGAGCATTTCATGGCTTGGGCTTGCTGGGTTGAGGGTTTAGGGTTTAGGGTTTAGGGTTCAGGGTTTAGGGGTTTAGGGTTTAGGGGTTTACCCTAAGGGTCCATGTGCCCAGATAGTATATACTTTGGCCTTAAAGTAGTCCCCATATAGGTACTTTGGGGCCAAAGTGTAAAACTGTATACTATTTGGGCACATGGACCCTTCGGGTTAGGGAGGGTTTAGATTTGGATTGCACTGCGAGACTTTTCAGTCGGACCCTAGTTGGGAGAGGACTACTTGGAGGATCATGGGACTTAGTAACTAGGGTTATAAATAAGGTAGCTAGACTTATGAGCAATTCTAACCCCAATTTAAGGTAGTTATAACCGTACTTACTAAGTCCCATGATCCTCCAAGTACAGCACTTCCCTAAGCCCAGGGAGGCCAATACTTGCAGGTCTCGACGCATTGATAATTTGAACTCCCAAGTCAAGGGTCAGGTAGGATTCCGTATGATTTGGGTTTCGGTTTATTGCTTTACGGGGATAAGGTGTAGGCATGCAGGGTAATGGGTTTGGAGGGATGTGGGTTATGTCGTCTCTGGTTCTGCCGAGAAAGGGAAACCACGAGCAGTATGATAAGGATTCGAATATTTGGTAACTTTATCACCTGACAGTCCCCCCCCCAGCCAGAAGTGTGTTGTAGTGTGCCCCAATACCCTATTCTAATTTCTAAGGCCCCTACTGCCTTACATGTCCCACGAAGAAACATGCATGTTACACCTTGAATCTCGTGATCAGCAGTCTGGCACGAACCAGACTACTGCAGCAGACGGTGTCAGAACTGGAGAAGTCGTGATGTTCGTGCTATGAAGTAACAGTACTGGTGGCCATAGTGGGACAAGCAACCGTATGAGCGAGGGCATCGGGTCGGTGGAAGCATAGTGGTAAAGCAATGGAGCAACAGTTGTAGCAATGGTGATGTCAACATGTGTAGTTTAGAAAACAAACATTAGAGAGGCCTAAATAATTACCTATACTATTTTTTGAGGGTTCCTTAGTAGATTTATATTATAGTGGGCCCCTAAAGCCTACTCTAATTACTAAGGCCCCTGCCTTCGTCTAGAAAACAAACAGCACGACGAGTAGCAGCACAAGCATCTCCAGTGCTGCATCCGGTATACTTTTGTTTTGCCTAAACCCTAAACCCTAAACCCATAAACCCATAAACCCCTAAACCCCTAAACCCTAAACCCTGAACCCAAACCCTCCAGATTGGATTTTCCGAAAATAAGGGGTATATACCTTATTTCGGGGTCCTTATAAGAAGGATCCTACCATTTAGGGTACTATATTGGGGTTCCGTATTTTCGGCAACTCCCAGATGATTGACACAATCCCTAGAAGGCTCATACCCTACCCTTTTTAGATGGCTTACCTTGTTATATAATAGGTCCTAACTTAACTAAAGAACTAGTTGCCCTTAAAGAAGGGGTAGGGTATGAGCCCAGGGGTCGAAAGAAGTTGCATCATAGTAAGCATGACAACCACTCTACATGCTGATTGTGGGCGCGTTTGCCAGTGTCAGTTAAGCCCCCAGCCCTAAACCGGAACCCTAAATCCTAACGCTTAAACCACCAAATTTCTGAGGATTGGGCTTCCCTTTCATCTCGCTGCCGGGCATTTTCCAGCTGCAGTTCCTCGCCAGCACAGTGGCTTCGGAGTGTAGTCATCTGGTTCAGGAGGGTTTAGGGCTTACGGTTCAGGGTCTAAGGTTCAGAGTTTAGGGTTTAGGGTTTAAGCTTCAGGGAGTGTAGACTTACCCTTAGCATCAAAATAGCCCAAAAGCCTAATATAATAGGGTCTTTGGGCCCAAAAGCCTTAAACTATGAGTCCTTTGAGGGTAAGGGATAGCCTGTACCCCGAGGCCCTAAACCCTAAATCCCTAAACCCTAAACCCTAAACCCTAGACCCGGGTATAGGACTATAAGGTTTTAAGTTATCCACGAGCAGTGGCGCCCATGAGCTGATCTGAGGCTTTATGAGGGGTTTAGGGTTTAGGGTTTTAGGGGTTGAGGGGTTTAGGGTTTAGGGTTTAGGTTTTAGGGGTTTAGGGGTTTAGGGTTTAGGTTTAGGTTTTAGGATTTAGGTTTTAGGGTTTAGGGTTTAGGTG